ACTTCATGTACCCCTCCAAGCCCCAACCCTCCCCACTTTGAGACAGGGCCTCTCTATTTAGCCCTGGCAGTCCTGAAACTCTCTGTGTAGATCAGGTTGGCCTCCAACTCATAGATATCTGTTTGCTTCTGCCTCTGCCTGCCAAATGCTTGGATTAAAGGCATGCAGCACCACAGCTGGCCCCATATCACCTTCCTTAAAAATAAGTCAGCTGGACCAAATGACCCATCATAGCTTCCCTTCCCTTCCAAAACTAACACTGTGTGGCTTTGACTACTGATTCTAGAATTCTAGGCCTTCTGCTAAACATATCCCTCCAAGCCCAAACTAAGGACACAGGATTTAAAGGAAAGGGAAACAGTGACACACCTGGCAGACTAGAGAACAAAGAGGGGAAGGAGCCAAGCTACTCTTGGGACCCTGTCCCTGAAGGCAGCCAGTTTTCTACTGTCCTAAGCCAACCTATACTTATGGGGTGTTTTTTTGTTTGTTTGCTTTTTTAAAAAGACGTTGTTTGCTATGCATCCCTAACCAACCTAGAAGACATGACGTAAATCAAGCCAGCCTAAAACTCGCAGAGACCTTTCTGTCTCTGCCTCAGGAGTGCAGGGGTTAACGGAGTAAGCCACCACAAAGCTTCGCTTTGTTTTTTGGTATAAGGGGTATTTATTTGTTATTTATTTATTTATTTACTTTTGAGGCAGGGTTTCTCTGTGTAGCCCTGGCTGTCCTGGAACTTGCTTTGTAGACTAGAATGGCCCCAAACTCAAAGCTCTGCCTGCCTCTGCCTCCAGAGTGCTGAGACTAAAGGCGTGCACCACCACCCAGCTGAGGGTGTATTATTTATCAAGGGCTAGTCAGGAACTCACTACATAGTCAAGGATGACCTTGAATTTTTGACCCTTTCCCTTCTATGTCCCAAGAGCTGGGCATGTGCCATCTAGCTTGGCTCTCACACCTTTGTCTTTGCTAATAGAAGGTTGGTTTGTTTTCTTGTACTTTGTGGGAAGGAGCTCCTCTGGCTTCACTCACTAGTCTCACTCCCTTGACTTCCAAGTGCCTACTTCTTCCCTTCGCTGCTCCTCACTCTTCTGCTTAGTTTTGTAGTGACAGGAACAGAAATCCGAGTTCAGTCTTGCTGAAGGAACTCCCTTAGGGCTCCATCCTCCACCAGCCGTCTCTTCTTTGACAAGACTTCACTTTGCTTTGCCTTTGGTTTCCTGGCTCCACCTTCCAGATCCCTGCTCTGCCCCCAACCCTGGACTCCAACAGCTGAGAAAAGCAGTACCGCTCCCTGCTGAAATGCCCGATGTCCCTCTCTTTGTATCTTTCCTCTCATCTCATTTATAGCAAAAGACCTGGTACAAAAGCCCAGGGTCAGAAGGAGACTTACCCAGGATAAGTGGTGCAACAAGGAGAGCTACAAAGAGGACATCCATTCTGGATTTTGCACTATCACTGTGAAAGTAAAGAGAGGAAATTGCTCTATTTCCCACCACACTTACCCCGCCTCCCCCTGCTGCTGCAAAGCTGGGAGGGCACTGGAGTGATTCTTCTCCCAGGGGACAGAATTCTCCGCCTACTCACTCAGTAGATCTTAACATAGCTGCTGGACTGAGAGGCACCCCCCTTCATGGATGCTAACTTGTTATTCCTGGAGCGCTCCTAGTCCTGGGTTAGGTTCACTCAGGACTCCCACTGCTGGGACCAGAGCTCACCCTCTCCCCTCCTATGCTTCCTCCAGCTCAATTCTCCCAAAAGTTCACCTTCCCTCTTGCAGGCCTTAAGTTACCATTGCCATGCAGGATTGCTCTTTACTTCGAGGGAACATGATCCTGTTTATCACTGTGGGAATGATGAGAGGAAGGGTGAGGACTTTTTTTTAGACTGTAAATAAATAGTGCCTTTTCTCTGACTATCTTGTCTGGAGGATGAGAGCAATGTTTATGAACCATTGTTTGACTCCCAAATTTCATTCTGCATTGCTGCTGATAAAAATCTCAACACTCTCAGAAGGCAGAGGCATGTGAGTTGGAGGCCAGCCTGGTCTACAGAATGAGTTCCAGGACAGTCAGGTCTACACAGAAAAAAGAAAATCTCACTACTCTCAGGTCCAAAGGAAACTCCAGTTCAAACCCTTCAAAAGGCGGCTCATCTATCCAGAACTCCATCTATCCAGAACTCCTCGTCCAGCTCCCCCCGCACCCCCCCCCACACAGCTGTGCGTCCCTCCTATAACAGCTGTGCTCACTGTTCTCGGCTGCTTCTCTTCTCTCTGTGCTCCTTCTCTTCCCCAGCCCCTGCTCTTCTCCCCTCTCTCACAGGTAGCCCTGGCCATGTCCAGTACGCTGGCTATGCTCAGTCTACTTTTTCTCTCTGCTTTGAACTCTTCCAGATGCCTCTGGCTGTTCTCTCTCTCTCTCTCTCTCTCTCTCTCTCTCTCTCTCTCTCTCTCTTTTTGTTTTTTGGTTTTTCTAGACAGGGTTTCTCTGTGTAGCCCTGGCTGTCCTGGAACTCACTCTGTAGACCAGGCTGGCCTCGAACTCAGAAATCCGCCTGCCTCTGCCTCCCAAGTGCTGCGACTAAAGGCGTGCGCCACCACTGCCCAGCCTGTTCTCTCTCTCTTAATAGAGCCATAACCAAACAGTGGAGAAGTCGAGTTGGCAGTTGCTTTACTGCAGTCTCTAGCATACAACAGCCAAGGCCAGTTATTTTTTTTCTATAGTTTGTGTTGACCTCGCCTTTTCCCCACAACTTCTTGGACACAGGATGGAAGAGGAAGCAGAGACTCTTTTTCCTTTGTTGGATGCTATGCCTGTTTCCCACTTTCAGACACAGTTCCTTAAAATTCTGTCTGCTTCTGTATTTCCTGTCTTCATTCAGTTCAGCTCAAAAGCAAGAACATATTTATTGGGCATAATGAGCTAGGTTTCGTCTGTTAGGAGACTGACAGACATGATGACTGAAACACAAAACTCTTCCAGGTGTGGTGTCTTGGCCCTTCATTCCCTGCATTTGGGAAGCAGAAGCACGAGGATCTCTATGAGTTTAAGGCTAGCCTGCTCTATCTACATAGTGAGTGCCAGGTCAGCCAGGGCTACATAGAGAGACCCCGTCTCCAAAATCTTAAAAGCAAACAGGCCAACAAACCACACACACACACATACACACACACACACACCAAACAACAACAAAAATATAGGTTAGAAGAAGTCAAATGACATATGACTACTAAATAAATGACTATCCTCCATATATTTTGGCATAAAGTTGTGAACTTTCAACTTTGTAAAGCAAATACAAGGAGAAAATTAAGTATCTTTAAACAACTCCCCCTCCCAACATATGCCAACCAATCATTGGTGGTGCAGGCCTTTAATTCCAGCACTCAGGAAGCAGAGGCAGGTGGATCTCTGAGTTCAAGACCAACCTGGACTACAAAGTGAGTTCTAGGATAGCCAGAGCTACACAGAGAAACCTTGTCTCAAAATCCCAAAACCAGGGCCTGGACAGATGGCTTGGTGGTTAAGAGCACTGCTACTCTTCCAGTGGACCTAGGTTTGATTCCTTGTACCAGTGGATCATAATCATCTCTAACCCTAGTTTTGAGGGGTCTCATGTGCTCATCTGGCCTCTAAGAGCACCTAGCACATACATGTTGCACAGATATACATGACACAACCCCTCCCACACACATAAAGATAACTATTAAAAGAAAAGCCCCACAAGCTCCACATACTTAGTAAATACTTGCTGAGCATCTAAAATGAGACCTTGAACACTGTGCAAGTGTCTGTGGACTCATCATGCACAGGATAGGTTTACAGACTGCTCCCTACAGCTGTTAACAGCTCACAGAGAAGAGTGGTCTTATCCATATTTCCCCAGACTCAGCCTGTTGAACTTAGAAGCAGGACACGCATGGAATCTTGAACGCTGGCCAAGATGCTCCCATCCTCTCAACCTTGGGAAACGATGTGCCTAGTGACTTTTTGCAAAAACCTTTTTCTCCATCCCCCCCACCCCCAGACTTTTCTGGGGAAAAAAAGTGTAAGACTTCCACAGGAGTGGCACACAAGTATTACATCATAAATCACTTCCAGGAAGCCTGGTAATCTTTTAAATCTCTTCTGTAGTTCGTTATTGCTTTGTGTATACCCTCAAAAACCATTTTCTCAAATATGATCAAAATGATCGGATCCCATCATAGGATTCCTTTGTTAGGCAGCCTCCTAAGGACCAACTTGTCCTCATACAAAGGATGATTCGTGCTAATATCAAATCCCTCTCCCCAGCCTGAGGAAAAGACACCACTTAAGTTTATTTTCCAGACTATAAATAAAGGAAGTATGACATCAAAGGAACCAAGCAGTTCGGCGTGGGGCGGAGGCGGGGGCGGGTGTCATTTCCCCTCAGTCCCATTGCTCTAATCGCTTTGTGACTCCAGGATTCCTTCTAAATATTTTCCTAGTATTTCTCTCCCGGCTCCTCTTGCTTCTGTCATTCTGTCACTACAGGATACAAGTGGAGGCTTCATTTGAGACATGATTCTTATACCAGGCTGTCCAAAGAGTTCCAACTTTTAAGCCTAACTTTGATCCCTGATCCCTCAGGGTGCTTCTCTAGGTCATTTCCTCTAATTCAAGTTAAGAACAATGTCCGTCCCTATCTTCCCACAACCCCTATCCTGCGCTCTTTTTTATTTGTCTCTAGATTCAAACAGGATCTTTCTCTGACAAAACTCCTCTAGTAATAGGTAGGGTGATTATCTCCCTTCTCTACCGAATGAAGAAAGGAAACCGTGGCTAAGGCGCAAGCGAACCCAGGAATCCTTGTTCTGATTGGGCCCAGTCCCCCAGCCTACTCTTCTGAAGCCACTCCCAGCACCAAATGGAGGGCGCCAAGGATGACAAACTACAACTCCCAGAAGGCCATGCTGCCACGGCCCCGCCTCTGCAGTTCCGCCCCACCAAGTATTCATTGGCCTTCCGGGGGTGGGGATTAGATGGGAGGTGGCCATGGGGCAGCGACCGGGTGTTGTTCCCTCTTCGGCTTCCGTAGACGAGGTCGGGCGGACCTTCGTCCGGGATTTCGGCACTCCCCCTTCCCCTTCCCCGGGGTCCGGGGGTGACATTGCACCGCGCCCCTCCTGGGGTTGCGTCGCCGCCCCACGCGGACTCCCCCTCGGTGCGCTGCTCCCATTCGCCTCCCTTGGCCGTGGTTCCCCCCCTCCCCCAGCTGCCCAGTCATGGGGGCTGCTGTGTTTTTCGGATGCACCTTCGTCGCGTTCGGCCCTGCCTTCGCCCTTTTCCTGATCACTGTAGCTGGAGACCCGCTTCGGGTTATCATTCTGGTGGCAGGGTGAGTGTCGAGTGGTGGAGAAGGGGCCGAACAGAGAAAAAGGTGCAGAAAGGGCCGGAGGCACTGGAGCAGGCTTGGGAGCCTGAGTTGGGGGACAGAAGTCGGAAAAGGTTGGACCGGGTCAAATCGTGATCTAGAATTTCCCGCAATCGGCTTCCGCCTTCCAGGGATTTCACAGATTCTTCCTGTAGTCCTCCGGGCAACGTCAGAGAAGGCCCAAGGCCAAGATTAATGAGGGGGCTGTGCTGACCTCGGCCAGCCAAGGATCCTGGAATGGATACTTTGTCCCACCGTTCATGCCCACACACTTTGACTCTCATCTCACTGAAGACTCTAACCAGATTTCTACCCCTTCTGCTGCTTTCAGATTCCTACAGATGAGTCTGTTGGTAGAGACACTTATCCTGTCTGGTCCCTGTTTCCCTTACCATCCGGAAGTCTAACTTCCACTTTTCATACATTCCATCCTTGGCTGGCTCCCTCCCTGATTTTTCCAGTTGCTCCTATCTTTGCCTCTCTCATTGCCATTGTGTTTTCTCAGAGCCTTTTTCTGGCTGGTCTCCCTGCTCTTGGCCTCTGTGGTCTGGTTCATCTTGGTCCATGTGACAGACCGATCAGATGCACGGCTCCAGTATGGCCTCCTGATTTTTGGTGCTGCTATCTCTGTCCTTCTACAGGAAGTGTTCCGTTTTGCCTACTACAAGCTCCTTAAGTAAGGACAAGGGGTGATCTGGAAGGGAGAGGGGACAGTGGTGTGCGTTGTGGGAAGTGGGCCAGCCCTTGGATGGTGGTTGGAGTAAGGGGCTTTAGAGGGAAGGTATTAAACGGAAAGGAACATCCCTGCCCTTCCTTTTATTTCCCAGAAAGGCAGATGAGGGCTTAGCATCACTGAGTGAGGACGGAAGATCACCCATCTCCATCCGACAGATGGCCTATGGTGAGCCAAGGGAGAGGGGTCAGAGGAGGGAGTTGGACACTCCCTCCTCCCTTTCTGGGTAATCTAAACATCCACATGTGCTAAGTGTTTTTCTTCATACTTGACTTCCAAGGAGAGGCGGTCTGGAGGGAGAGTAGGTATGGTAGAATTTTTCCTAGGCATGGGGAGTAGGTACTGGTAATGAGGCTGCAGTGGTCTTGGTCGTTGATGAGACCCTCCCTCCCCCCAGTTTCTGGTCTGTCCTTCGGTATCATCAGTGGTGTCTTCTCTGTTATCAATATTTTGGCTGATGCACTTGGGCCAGGTGTGGTTGGGATCCATGGAGACTCACCCTATTACTTCCTGACTTCAGGTAGGACTCACTTCCAACCTTGTCTTCATGCCCTCTCCTTCCCTGGCCCCATCTGACTTACTGACCTTCCCTGGGAGACTCCTCTGGCTCAGCGTGTCAGGAGGCTGGGAGACAATCAGTACCTCCACCCCGTCTCCCTCCCTGCAGCCTTTCTGACAGCAGCCATTATCCTGCTCCATACCTTTTGGGGAGTCGTGTTCTTTGACGCCTGCGAGAGGAGCCGGTACTGGGCTTTGGGCCTGGTAGTTGGGAGTCACCTTCTGACATCAGGACTGGTGAGTTGGAGACGGGCCTGAGATGGGGAGAAAGCTCTTGATGAATGGTGAGTGGGCTGGGTGTGTGTTCTGCGGAGTAAGTAGTCTGAGCTTACCTTGGGTGGAGGCAGAAAGGTCGTTTCCTGAGCTCTGCCACCGCAGCTTCAGTTAGGTCACCTGCTCTGGGGTAGATTTGAATCATGTAGTCAGTTATCACAAGAGGCCTGAGGGCAGTAGGAAGAGCTGGGACCTTGAGGGACTCTGAAGTCAAAAGCTGCCTTAGCTCTGAGACGCTGGTGCTTTGAAGAGAAAAGGAGGAGTCTGAATAGGATGTCTGGGGGAAGTTGAGTCAAAGGCCCAAAGTCAGTGGTGCAATTAGGTGCGGGGAGAATCTAACGTCTTTTCTGTCCTCATTCTCAGACATTCCTGAACCCCTGGTATGAGGCCAGCCTGTTGCCCATCTATGCAGTCACCGTTTCCATGGGGCTCTGGGCGTTCGTCACAGCCGGAGGCTCCCTCCGAAGTATCCAGCGCAGCCTTTCTTGTAAGGACTGACTACCTGGACTGATCGCCCGACAGATCCCATCTGCCTGTCCACTGCCCATGACTGAACCCAGCCCCAGCCCGGGTCCATTGCCCTCATCCTCCGTCTCCTCGCCGATGTGTCCCGCTTCCTTCCGGGTTTGGCATTGTCCATTTGTGACCTGTAGTCTCTAAGCTTTCTCAGGAGCAGCCTGGGTGCAGCCCGTCAGGGACTAGTGGGTTTGAACCTGCATCTCTCCCCACCACCTGGGGACCCCCTTGTTGTCCAGGTCTCCCCATGTGTCAGTGCTCCGCCCTCACCCTGCCCATGACTCACCCCGCTTCCCCTCTGCAGGCCGCCGGCAGGAGGACAGTCGGGTGATGGTGTACTCTGCCCTGCGCATCCCACCCGAGGACTGAGGGAACATGGGGGGGACCCCTGGGCCTGGAGTGCCCTCCCGATCTCCTCGTCCTGTATTTCTCCATCTCCAGTTCTGGACAGTGCAGGTTGTCAAGAAAAGGGACCTAGTTTAGCCATGGCCCTGGAGATGAAGTTACTGGAGGCTCAAGGGTAGATGAGTTCAGTATCTCCTGCCCAGACTGGACATCTTGATCTTTTTCTCAGGTCTGAAAGGAACCATTTTTTGGTATGATAAAGACCCCCAAAATGCCTTTTTTTTAAGTGGGGAGAGGAGGAGGTGTGCTGGGAGCCTCCTTGACCTCTGTAGGCTGTGTTTGCTCCTGAATCTGCTGATCGTGGCTCATTTCTGTCCTGTTTTCCCTCTGGTCCCAGGCCCTGGGGAAAAGGAAGGAAGTGCATGCTTGGGAACTGGTACCACTGGAACTCGTGTTTTAATGCCCATGACCATCAGCACCCCTCCTTTCCCCAAGGCGAAGTGGAGGGTGCTGTGAGGGTTTGTCCAATCCATGGCAGTGCCCTGGAGGAGTCAGACTGCCATGGAATCGCAGGCCAAGGGGGCAGACATCTTTTCTAGTTTTTAATTGGGGTGTGGGAGGGCTGGGGAGGTTTTCTATCACTGTATTGTTTTTCTGCTGAGGGTGGGATATTCCATCCTTTTAATCAAGGTGATTGTGATTTTGACTAATAAAAAGGACTTTATAATTGTGGGGGAACTTGGCTTTCAGAGGGGATAATGGATTGAGATTTCTAGTTCGGGTCCACCCTTCCTAGCCCAACACCCGAGTGTTATGAAAGGTGCATCGGTCGGTGGTGTGACTTGTGGAAGTTGAGTTAACTTCCCAGAAGTAGATCTCCATGTCCAGGAACAGGATACCCTCCAACCCCCCCTCGTTTTCTCTTTCTGTATGTCTGTCTCTGACACTCAAAAGGACAGAGGTATTCTCCCACTGTTGAAAGCCACAAAAGACAGTCCAGAATTAAGGTCAAAAACTTTTAATTTCCAAACATATATTGAGCAAAAAATAATTAAAATCCCAGCAGCAGCCCTTTTTTCCTAGAGGAGAAAACTATGTGTACCTGGGGGAGGGGGCATGACGGTGACGGCAGAGCTTATCCTCGGCCTCTTCATAACTAGACATTAAAACAGTATCTCCAGATCTACAGCTTTGCAGGGCCAAAGGCTCAGCCCTTCCTTGAAGAAGAGCTGGGGTCCTTGCTCCTCCGGTACATGTGCACAGAGAGGTGGTATCTAGAAGGACATGTGTCTGCCTGTATCCTCTAAGGCTCCCTGACAGTATGAGAGGAAGGCAGCCACAGCGTCTTGACAGTTCATGCTTCTGTGGTAGCCCGAGCAGAGGTGAAAACCACACTTTTCCTGTTTCCGAGCCTCTTCTTCCTGGGAAGGGGGCAATGGTTCATGGGAGTGACTAGTGTCCTAGGTGAGAGTAGAAGTAGAATAGGACATACTTTTTCTTTAAAGTGTATAATCACGACCTTAGGCTTTCTCTTTCCCCGCCTCCTGAGTATTGGGATAACAAGTATGTGCCAGCATGCCAGATTTGATGTGGTGCTAAAGATCCGACCCAGGGCTTTAGGCATGCCTGGCAAGTACTCCGCCAACTGAGCTACAGCCCCAGAGAATTTTGTTGGGGAGTGGGGTGGGGTTACTGGGTTATCTCACTATGTAGACCAGGCTGGCCTTGAACACACAGAGATCATCCTGCTTCCAGCTCCCAAGCATTGGGATTAAAGTTATGTACTACCATGCCTGGCTGAGAATGCTTTTTTTTTTTTTTTTTTTTTTGAGATGCCTTCTCGGTGTACCCTGGCTGCCCTGGAACTCACTCTATAGACCAGTCTGGCCTTGAACTCAGAGATTCGCTGGTGAGTGCTGGGATTAAAAGTGTGTGCCACTACCACCGAACCTCTGACAATGCATTTTAGTAGAAAATAAATATCAAAATATCGCAGGAATAGAAAGTAGGATCTCACCTAATTTTTCGAGCGATGAAATAAATAGCCAGCAGAAGGCAGAGACATCCAGCCAAGATTCCCACACCTAGACCCAACATCTCTCCTGGGGGAAGACAAGGATGTCTGCTCAGTCTAACAGGTTCTGAGGCTTTCCATCTTTGCTGGGGGTCTACCTCATCTGGCCACATAGGACCATCTTACCTGTGGTATACAGTGGTCCCACTGCAGAGGAAGAAAACTTGGATTAGAGGAGTTTCAGAACATTCTCCCGTTTGGGAGCTCTGCTTCCACACCTGAAAACTGACCTGAGCATCCTTTGTTGGGGGTGACTCCTGGTCCAGGGATGTAGTGGGAACCCTTCCCCCTCAGCCTTTCCTTCCCAGGGACTCACTATTTCATGCCTTTGAGCCCCCCCCCCCCCCCCCAGTTTCCCATCTCTTCTGAGCCCTGCAAGTCACCTTGGATGAAAGAAGCAAAGATGGTCCTCTGGTTGAGAGGCTGGGGGACTCTGTAGTTCTGTACAAGGGGCTCAGATGAGTCCTCTTCTGTAGAGAACAGTGTCCCCTGGAGCGTCGCTAACTGGGGAGCAGAAGTGGAGAAATCACCCTAGGGCATTGGCAAGGGTCTGAGGTTAAAGGTGTATTCACCTCTCCAGTACTCACCTGTCCCATTGAAATCTGGGCCCTTCTGTTGAAGACTGTCCAGACTACACTCTCGTAGCAGGGAGGAGTTGTGAGCGAGCCATTGTATCGGAAGAATTGCTCCAGCTGCTGGGGGAACAGCTCCCTCACACTGAAGGGAGGCACAGAGGTCTTCTGATCTGGGGAGGGCAGAGCAAGGGTCAGTCTTCCTGGACAGGGTTCCTCTAAGCAGAATCCACTGCTTACCGCGCCCCTCCCAAGCCTCGCAGGCCAGGTCTTGAAAGTTTCCCTGCAGTTGAATTCTTACTGTAGGTTTTTAGGGTTCACCTTTGTGTCTTATTTCATGCAGATGACTCAGAATGTGATCATAAGCTGGATTCTCAGTCTCACCCACCTGTAAAGAGAAAGTGCCATAGACGCATGTGTTTGGAGTTAAGTGCTCCGGGTAAACTTTAGAGAGGCCTAAGGGTATAAGTAAAGGGTTAGAGAGAGACCTGAGAGGAGCTAGGGGTTACTGACCTCAATTAGGATGCCTAGGACAGCCAGGCCCTCAGGCTTCTGAGCAGCCTCACTCAAGCTGCCGTAGGACTCTGAGTCGTAATGGACCACGTGGAGCTGGAGGAAGACAGAGGGTTACCTAAATGTTTCTTCATTCCCTCTAAGGCTTTGATTTAGTTCCCTCCCCCCTCCTCAGTTGCCCAATCAAAGATTGTGCCCCCAAAGCTTTGTCTTATCTCTTCAATAAGATTTTTCAAGGGTCCAGATCCACCCTTTCTCTGAGCTCCACTGGACCGAACCATGCATCATGTGTGTCCTAGTCCAAGCTCCCGGGTACCTCTGCAACGGTGGCTTCACTGTTGATCTGGTGCTCTGAGCCTTCTAGGGATCCTTTCTGGCCCCAGTGCAAGTGGAGCTGGGCTGCTGTGTATTTCCGCGGCAGCCCACTGAGGTGCAGGCTTGGGGGCAGGGAGAGCTGCACTGTGAGAAAAGAGCAGGCTAGGATCGGCAGAGGAATGTGGGCAGTTTCCACCCCAGCTTGCCACCACTTGGGACACTTGGTTCTCCTCTTCCTTCTTCCGCCCAGAATTGCCTGACTCCTCTCTAGCAAGAAACCTCCCTGCTGCTAAAATTAAGTCCGTGCTAGGACACTGCTTGCACACCGAACCTGATTATACACATCCAATCCCACCTTAGCTGCAGGAGCCTGAACCTCATTGTTTTGTTGTTTTTTGAGACAGGGTTCCTCTGTTCACAGGCTGTAGCCCTGGCTGTCCTGGAACTCACTCTGTAGACCAGGCTGGCCTCAAACTCAAGAGATCAGCCTGCCTCTGCCTCCCAAGTGCTGGGATTTTGAGTGTGCCACCATGGCCCAGCTCTGAACCTCATCCTAACGTCCGGATTCATTAATGGATAGTTCTGACATTTTATAAGTTAGAACTGTTTCCTCTGGCTTTTTATTTGTTTGTTTTTGTGTTTTTCAAGATAGGGTTTTTCTTTGTATCCTTGGCTTTCCTGGAACTCACTCTGTAGATCAGGTTGGCCTTGAACTCAGATATCTGCCTGCTTCTGCCTCCCAAGTGCTGGGACTAAGGTATGTACCACTGCCACTCAGCTTCTCTTGGCTCTTAAAGGTCTAAACTGGAGCCTGCAGTTATTTGAAACTGGGTCTGAGGCCGGGCGGTGTGGCGCACGCCTTTAATCCCAGCAGTTCGGAGGCAGAAGCAGGCGGATTTCTGAGTTCGAGGCCACCCTGGTCTACAGAGTGAGTTCCAGGACAGCCAGGACTACACAGAGAAACCCTGTCTTGAAAAACCAAAAAAAAAAAAAAAAAAAAAGAAAGAAAGAAAGAAAGAAAGAAAGAAAGAAAGAAAGAAAGAAAGAAAAGAAAAGAAACTGGGTCTTTTACCTGTATGGCCATTATTGTGTAGATCCAAAGGCTCAGTACCAAGATGATCATATCCATGGGGCTGTACAGCAGGCAGATCGGGGTCAAATATCACACTGTCTGTCTGGATATCGATGGGGGACTGGGCATTGCCTCCACACTCAGGGTAAGAGGTTGGCCAATGGTCCTGACCGTGTGGGCCTGGTGGAGGGGTAAGTTACCATTTGTCCAGCCCTACAGCCCCAGGCACCCTTTAGTAGCCCCCATTCCATGTTATAGGTGGAAGTAGAAATCCACTTCTCACCACGCAGTTAGGTAGGGCTGGGCGAGGTGGAAGTCCCCCCTGCACTCTAGGCTGCAGCACCCCTCATCTCCCCAGAAGCAGGGGTGATTGTCCAGCTACTCTAAAGTGGGAGAGTGGCGGCTTTTACTCACCTGTAGTTTCAGAATAATGAAGCTGAATGAGGGGAAGAGGAGACAGACAGAAAGCCTGAATTCTTGCAGAAGTAGAATCAGAGAGGACAAACAGCCCTAGACAGGTGGAATATCTTTGGGATACCCTATCAAGTAGTCTTGGGGTTCAGCTATCCTTTCTGTCGTTCACTTTTTCCTCTCACACTGGACCTTGCCTGGACTCCAGACAGGTCATTAATCAGAAGTTCAGCAGGATTGAGTTCCACTGTCCCTAGAGTCACAGGATCCTGCCAGCCTTCTTCTGACCTCAGGCTCTGTCCAGTTCCAGAGACAGGTTTGGGGAGGACTATTTAGGAGAAAGGGAGCCAGCAGAGTGGCAGCTGAGCTAGCCCTTGTGCTTCTCCCCGCCCAGTTTTCTTCATTTCCACACGGATTTACCCAGGACACATTGGTTTTTTTTTGCTGAATCAGGAGACATGGGATTTAATGATTACAGCAGGGTCTAGCAGCCACTTGTGTAAAGGCCAGTGTGTGTGTGTGTGTGTGTGTGTGTCTCAGGAAAAGCCCTTCCTCTCCCCCAGGACAAGTCTTCATGCCAGGTGAGGGGGTCCCAGGGTGAAAAGAGTGCCAGTCCATCTGGAGTTCCGATCTCACCTTCGTATGTCCAGTGGTGACCTGTAAGAGAGTGATTTGGGCAGTAGCCAGAGCAGCCTGGAGCAGTGTCCTGGCATCTGCTCTCCCTCTGGCCAGCACCTCCTCCTTTTCTCCTCTCTCTTACCCACCTCCACTCCAGCACTTCCCAAGTGAAGTACTGAAACTGGATACTTCTGTGGAAAGGTTGGGGGTCCTATTTAAAATAACTAGCCAGGCTGTGCTTGGGTAGTAAAGAGGGAGGAGCAAAGAAAAGAGATAAAGCCAGAGACTAAAATTAACCTGGATCCAAATGTGCAGGCGGCCCAACCCTTACTTTTTTCCATCTGGAGCCAGGTCAGTGTAACACTTAGAAGGTTGGGGTGGGATAAAGCAAGGGTGTGGGCAGAGGGCTTGGAAGCATGGGACAGAAGGCGAGGGGGAAGTTCAGGGTGCGGCACTGCTGCTGGAGACAGGCCGGCTGAGACCTCTGCCTTGCTGCATTGCTGCACGGATGAAGGCACAGCACCTTCAGTGCGAGTTTTAGTTCTTCCTTTCTGCTCTGACTAGCTGTGGTCGCTCCCATCATGAACCTCTGCTCCTGCAGGCTCAGGAGAGGCAGGAGTCGGGGCTGGGCCTGTTCTAGGTTGAGGGTGGTGGGTGGGCACAGGCTGCCAGGCTGGCAAGGACAGGATGAAAGTGAAGCATTGTGTGTAGAGAGGAGAGCTGCCAGCCGGGTCACATGCCAGGATCTCATGCAGTTCTGTCTCTGGCCAAAACTCTGGGGGTCTGTGGATCATCCCCCACCCACCATGGACAACCTGCTTCAAGGAGAAAAGGAAGTCTTCTTGTAGATTGGCTTGTACTATTTAAATCTAGAAACTGGGGGGAAAATCCTTTTCCTCTTTATTAGTCCTTTATTTATTTTGTTTGAGACATGATTTTGCTATGTAATCCATACTGGCCCAGTATTCACAGTGTGGTTCAGGCTGACCTCGAACTTGTGGCAATCCTGCCTCAGCCTCCTGAGAGCTGGGATTACAATCCTGTAACCCAATGCCCATCTGCTATCATTCTTTTAACTGCTCACACTGGTCTATGTCTCAGCTCAAGCAGCTCTGCAAATAGCCCACCCACCTATTCATTCACTATCTCTGTGGGATACCCCAACAACTAGAGTTCTCTAGCTTTTGTGAGGGTGCCCTGCCCTTCCTGTGAATGGTTCTGAGTTAATTCTAATACCTCTTTTTCCTCTTTCCAAATTGTTTCTTCGCAGAAAATATTTCTCTCTCTCTCTCTCTCTCTCTCTTTCTCTCTCTCTCTCTCTCTTTGATCCCTTGGTCCCATCTTCCGCTCCCTTTCTCGATAATCCTCCCCCCACCACATTCTTCCAACAAACTTTAATCCCTCACCTACTATGTGCTGGATACAGAAATGCCGGGGAAGCACAAAAACAGAGTGTAGAAATCAGGCATGGTGATGCAGAGACAGGTGTAACCTTGTCTCAAAAAAAAAAAAAAAGTATATAAAAATGAACAATAACAACGAAAAAGGTGTGGGACTCCTTCAGGCGTTCCTGGACTCCAGGAACAACTTAGCTTGATTTCCCAAATGTCTCCCTACCCCTCTCCTACTCTCGAAAGTCCTTTGTACACTGAGAAGAGCTGAGCAAATGTTTAGTTGTGTTACTTTCAGGGAAATGGACCAGCCGCCCCGTGCACCTTGGCAGGTAATCCTTTGATCAGCTGGGAGTCAGGGTCTGAGTTGGGCAGTACTGTAGCACGTGTCCCTTCCCACCCCTGCTCTCCCTAACCAGCAGAGTGCGTAAACAAAGAAGGGCAGGAGGGCTGCCTGGGACTAGGGCAGTGGGGAAAGAGTGGCTCGGAAAACCGTAGCTGGCCGAGATTCCCACACTTGTGAGCATTCACACTGGACTCTGGCTAGCTCTCCCTGCCGCAGAGACAGCGGTAATAGCTAGGCTAGAGAGGAAAAGGAAAAGAATTCTTTCTCCTACCCCATGCCTTTTCCCCAGCCCCTAGGCTTCCCTTTCTGAACCCTCTCCTCCCCCACTTAAGTACACATGGCTACGGGTGGACATTAGCACAGACCCAGTTGTACCTACCCCCATCTGCAGCCAGGATCCAAGTCACCTTTAACAGGAGAGCGAAGAACAACATATTATCCCCACAATGGGGCAGAGGGGACCACGAATTTGGGGGCTAGAAGAGAGAGGTGGAGAGGGAGAGAGGAGTTTCTGGCGTCCTATCTCTTTTCTTCTTGGCTTTGCAGACTTCCAGGGATTTGATTGTCCACAGGTTAACACGAACTTCTGGATCCCAGGATAAATTTCTTTCTCTCTCACTTTGTCTTTCTTCCTCTCTGCCCTCTCTGTATGCCCCTCTGTAGTCTCCTCACCACTTACTGGCCAGCAACTTCACAGTTGCCTCCCGCTTTTAAGGTGGCTCGGAACCGGTGTACGTGAGGAGGGGGTGGTGCCTGGGCTGCAGGCGAGCAGCTCCTTAAATAGCGGATTAGGCATGCAGGATGGCCCTGCAGAGCCCAGCGCCCTGGCCTTGGCTCAGGAGCCCAGCTGGAGTGAGCTCTTCCTTTGCCATTTACACTGCCGCTCATACGGGTGTCCCCTGGAACTCTCGGTCAGGGAAGGAGGGTTTCGCACCTCTCCCTCCCAGGACACCGTGTTCTCATTCTCCTGCCTGAGGAGCACATCCCTTGGGTGGTGTGGGACAGCTGGTGGGGAACCTGTTTCTGAAACCAAGAGAAGTTGAGCTGGTTGGAACCAGAAAGAATTCAGATTCGGGAGATAGGAGAACAGAAGTTGGGGGCTCAGGGCTCAGGTGGGGAGTGGAAAGTCAAAGTTTAAAATCTGGACTGTGGAGAGGAAGAAGTGGGGCGAGGAGAATATTTGTCTTCCGCGCTGTCTTTCTTTGGCGCCTGTCACCACCCCCTTCCCTTGGTGAGGCTTAGGTCCACGTGCCTGTGTAGCCTGGGGTGGGGGTGCGGTTTTGTTTGCCGTATAAAGCCCATTTGTGTGCACAGCGGGGGAGGGGTTGTCACAGCACCAGGGAGAGACAGCATTCTAACTTCCAGACCCAGCCACCTCCCTCCCCAGGGAGCCCAGATCTAGGGCGCCTTTTGTCACTGAAGAGGACACTGACCTCTAGCAGAGAGGCCGGGGCCCGAGGAGTGGTGGGTGACTGTAGAAACAATTACTGTCACCATGAGAAAAAGGCGGACTCCAAAGAAAGAGAGGGGAGGGGCCATAGAAAGGCCATGTGACTAGGTGGGTGAGAGGTCCAGGGGCTTCCCGCCCACCCAACAAAGGGTCCAGGCAGGTCCAGTGGGACCGAGTGAAACCTGCTGTGGTAGAGCTGAGTTAGCTAGTGGAGCATGGAGGCTGCGTGGCGTCTCAGGAATGCGAGCTGGTGTGCGCTCCCCCACGGGACTAGAAATCCCGATCGGAATGTACATCCTAAGTCCCTCATTAGCGAGTGTGAAGACCACAGATCATTTCAAGCTAGATGGTGAAATCTCTCTTCCATAACCTTCACTTACTGGCCCAGGCAATGCATACACCTCTGTGAGGTCTTTCTGCTCTCCTTACTCCTAACAAACAGCAATAAATAGCCAAAACAAAAGAGCAGAAGCCAAACAAGGGCACGGGATAAAAGCCAAATGAACAGAATAATGCATGTGCTGGGTCATCACTCCTGCGGAGACAGGAGCTCACAGCGCTTTTCTGTCCCATGACTGAGCTTCAGAGAAAGGATTTATATACATATATACATATATATACATACATATATATATACATGTTTTTATCGCTTTGCGAATACTTAATCCCCTAAAAAAGTTTCCGTCATAAAGTTCTTCCAAAGCCTCATCCAATCCCATCTAGGAAGAATAAAAGATGTAAATGCAAGTTAAGACTTCTTTGGAATCCGGGAAGTTAAAAGGGGGTGGGGCGGGGTGAAAGGAGAATGAATAGTATTTCACAAGGTAGGAAAGAGGAGGTCTGGACAGAATAACCCCTGTTAGGACAGAGCCCCCCTGGAGCATCTGCGACCGACATTCAGCCTCCCAAGAAGTGCGCCTTGCCTGGCGCCACCTCCTGGCTTCTCTACGAATAAACTTGGGATTCCTCTGGACAGCAGTTGGTGCTGAGGGTTTGCAGACTTTGCCTACACTATTGAATATTGTTTCAAAGAAATCTTAGCCCTGGTGCTGGAGAGATCGCTCCGTGGTTAAGAGCTCTCTCTGCTTTTTCAGAGCAATGGATTCAATTCCCAGCACTCATATGGCAGCTCACAACTGTCTGTAACTCCAGTTCCAGGGGACTGGATATTCTCACACAGACATACATGCAGGCAAATCACCAATGCACAGAAAATAAAATCATTAAAACTAAATTGCGGCCGGGCGGTGGTGGTGCACGCCTTTAATCCCAGCACTTGGGAGACAGAGGCAGGCGGATTTCTGAGTTCGAGAGTTCGAGGCTAGCCTGGTCTACAGAGTGAGTTCCAGGACAGCCAGGGCTACACAGAGAAACCCTGTAAAAAGAAAAAAAAAATCTTAGCTCCAAGTCAACACTTAGGCTCCAGGGCAAGCAGCCTCTCTAGGAATTCCGATTCCCTCCAAATGAACAAAATTGGTTTCTAAGAGAGAAAGAGAGAGAACTACCCTCCTCGGATTTGATTTTTTTTTGTTTGGATACCGTGAACACTTCAGTCATTGCGTTCTAGCTGTTTTGGAGCAGGTGCAAAGGGAAAGAAAAGGGAAACAAAAAGAAAAGGTGAGTGGTTAGACCTCCTCCCAGTAGTTTCTTTTCAAACTCTTTTGCTTCGTTATGGCTCTTCTTGCTCCTCGTCCTGCACCTGGCCCAAAACCTACCAAACCCCAGACATTCCGCTGCCGTGTGGCGCCATCTCCTGTCCTTGCAAAGCAGTGAAACGTGAATGTCAGATCAAAGTCCAGTGTGGTGACTTTTTGTTTATCCTTTCTTAAAAGTTCTTAACTTAGGTATTTAAACTCACTCCTTTAGAATGTTCTTGGAGCAAACCCGCTCAGCTCCCCGAGTTTCCGTGCTATGGTTCAGGGAGTTCAATAAAGGAGGGAGTCAGATTAAAACAACAATCCACGGGGGGACGGATTAGATGGAATTAGATTTTTCTAGAAAAGCTAATAACGTAAACGAGAGACAGAAAGCTAGCAAACAGAAAGAAAAACTAACGACTTTTTGCTGCAGTCATAAAGCGGGGGTAGAAACATTCTGATTTTATAGGCAATCGCATTTAGTATCACAGACTTGTCTGCTGACTCCTCAGTCTCCAAGCCTCAAACACAAGGGTGCTTAAAACTAAAGTCACTGGGGAATTGGGAGGAGCAGGTGACCAGCCTCACAGTTTTCCAATTCAATAGATGGGGGAGAAGAATCTTGTGGACAAAGGGCAGGTAAATATTGTTGTTAAAAAAAGAAATAAGTAAGAGAAAAAAACAAAAAGAAAAAACAAAAAAAAGAAATATTGCTGTTGTAATTAAAAAGGAATTTTCTGTTATGAATTGGTCCCATGCACAGAACACTGCTAGGTTTGTAAATACGTGTGGGTTAGATGAAGGAATTTACTCAGGGGACCAGTTGGTCACTTTCATTCTGCCTCTGGTCTTTCATAGACCTTTAGACCAGCGGGGCCCTTAGGCATTCATCCAAACTCCTTGTTGTGCTCAGTGGAGAATGAATTTTGAGGGATTTAGGAATTCAGCTGTGGTTGATGAGAAATGTTGAGCTAAACCAGAAACGGAACCCAAGCCCCAGTGAGCATTTCTCTGCACTGCTGGTTCTCTGGCATTGGTGACTGTTAGATTCACCTGGAAAGTTGCTACATACAGGTCTCTAGCCTGCCTCTTCATAACTCTAGGGGTTGTTTGGTTGTTTCTTTTTAAAAATTGTATTGTTTTGTTCTTTGATTTTTTTTTTTTTGAGACAAGGTCTCTCTACATAGCTCTGACTGTCCTAGAACCCACTCTATAGAGTAGGTTGGCCTCAAACTCATGGAGATCTGCTTGCCTCTGCCTCCCAAGTGCTGGGAGGCACCACGCCTGGCCTATCATCACAATACTGTCAGTTTGCACTTCTTTCTACATTTATTTATTTATTTATTTATTTATTTATTTATTTATTTATTGTTGGTGTGCATGTGCACACTCATATCATGGTATTTGTCTAGAGGGTTACTTTTTTTTTTACATTTACTTATTTTTTCATGCATATGTGTGTGGGCACATGTATAAAAGTCAAAGGGCAACTTGTGGGAATTGGTTCTCTCCTTCCTCATGTAGGTAGGGGGTTGAACACAGGTCTTTAGGCTTAGCAGCAAGCATCCTTTCCCATTAAGTCATTTTACTGGTCCCCAGAGGTCTGAATTTCTAGTAGGTGCCTAGGTGAGATGAGATAGATGCTATTCATCTGCAGGGTGTCCCCTAAGAGCATCTGCTGCATACCTAGAAACAGACATCGTAGGTTTGCTATTCTCTGTAGAGATTAAAACTATCCGTTCACGCGCTGGTCACCATAGTCTCTGAGGTTAACAACAGTTCCTTTACAATTATATTTTAAGTCCTCCTAGGTACAGTCATGGCTTTGAAATTCAAAACGTGAATAAGGCTTGACCTTTTCCCTAAAACACTTCCAAATCCTTTGAGATGCCGACTTTATTCAGTGTCTACACTAGACGGTGAGAATGTCCACATCTGTTTTACGTACCAGCAGTGTATCCATTGTGTTTAACCAGGTCCGAGCATCCATAGTAACGTAACAAAGCCACTTCAAGGCAGGCGGTGCCTGCGCGGTTCTCTCTCGGGATGACACTGAAGAGTAGGTAGTCAAAGGAGCGTCCTCACTGATATTCTGGAGCAGTCGATGTCCTGTGGGAGGAGGAAGGGAAAGGTCGTCCCCTTCCTTCCCCCCTCAACTAAGCAACCCAGGCTAGATACAAACTTGCTGTGCAGCTGAGGCTAGCCTTCCATTCTTGATCATCCTGCTTGAACTCCTATGCATAAAGATTACGGGTGTGTAAACTGGCTTGTTGAACGTTTTAAATTTTTATTTAAAATTTTTATTATTTTAAAGATGAACTAACTTATTTTATTTTTCATTTTATGTGTATGAGCATTTTCTCTGCAGGCACGTGAGTGTACTGTGTGGATAGAGGGTTGTGGAGGCCAGAGGAGGGTGTCGGATCCTTTGGGACTGGAGTTAGAGACGACTGTGAACCACCACATAGATTCCAGGTCTTCTGCAGGGGCAGCCAGTGCTCACTCTTAACCGCTAAGCGTCTCTCTAGCCCATCATCATCATCACCATCACCATCACCATCACCATCACCACCACCACCATCACCATCACCATCACCATCACCATCATCATCACCATCACCATCATCACCATCATCATCATCACCATCACCATCATCATTATTATTTTGAGACAGTGTCTCACTCAGTAGCTCAGGTGAGCCTGAAACTTGAAGTGATCTTCTGGTCTTAACCTGAATTCTGTGGCCACAAGCAGAAACGGAGAAGCTGACCAAGTCCTGAGGGTGGGCATTGTTGACTTGAGCCCAGTGCCTCAGACACCTGGGAGTCGCAAAGCCTTCCATGGCTCAGGGGGATGGTCAGGCTTTCTTTCCGTGGGGGTACAGACCTGACAGTGTGCACAGAAAGTATCAGCCAGCTCTGTTCCAGATGCCTGTAGCCAAGACCACGCCCGCACAGAGACCCCCACAGAGACTAGCTGAAGCCCCTCATCTGTGGTGTGTGAAATAAAGACACTGCTGCTGTGCCTCTCCATCACACCTGTATGCGTGTCTGCCATTGGTCATCCAAGTCAGGTCAAAGAGACCCAAGTCCTCCACTGGCCTAGAACTTGTGACTTATTAAGGCTGGCCTAGAACTTGTAATGTATCAAGACTGGGCTAGGACTTGTGATGTACCAAGACTGGCCTAGAACTTGTAATGTATCAAGACTGGCCTAGAACTTGTGATGTACCAAGACTGGCCTAGAACTTGTAAAGTATCAAGACTGGCCTAGAACTTGTGGTGTATCAAGGCTGGCCTAGAATTTGTGGTGTATCAAGGCTGGCCTTTAGCTTCTCACTATTCTGCTTCCACCTCTGGAATGTCGGGGTCACCAGTGTGTGCCACCATACTTGTTAAGAATCAGGTGCTCGGGCTGGAGAGATGGCTCAGTGGTTAAGAGCACTGACTGCTCTTCCAGAGGTCCGAGTTCAATTCCCAGCAACCACATGGTGGCTCACAACCATCTGTAATGGGATCTGATGTCCTCTTCTGGTATGTCTGAAGAGTACAATGGTGAATACATAAAATAAATAAACCTTAAAAAAAAAAAGAAAGAAAGAAAGAAAAGAATCAGGTGCTCCCAGACTGCCCTTGCATCACCACAGAGTGCTCTGACCCCTCTCTTACTCTCCCAGTCTGTCTGTTTCTCTTTCTTTGTGTCTGTCCCCACTCTGAGAGGTACTTTTACCTCTCTCCCAATAAATCTCTTGCATAAGATTTGTTTTGTGGTGTGATCTCTTCGACACCCCTTGGTCCCTACCCTCCAAGATACTCCATTGCAAAACCCTAACAATACTTGTTAAGAAAAAGATCTTTTTTTTCCCCTTTTCTTCCTTTTTTAGTTTTTTGAGACAGAGTTTGTCTTTGAAGAAAGAACTGGCTGTCCTGGAACTCACTCAGTAGGCCAGGCTGGCCTTGAGTTTACAGAGATCCACCTGCCTCTGCCTCCTGAATACTGGGATTAAAGGTCTGTGCCACCACCAGCTTTTTAAAAAACATTTATTTATTTATGTTATGTATGTGAGTACACTGTAGCTGTCTTCAGACACACCTGGAGAGGACATCGGATCTTCTGTGAATCTGTAGAGACCAGTGACCAGAGGATGCCACAGCAAAGCCTTCTGTGAGCTTATTGGTACACACTACACGCTCCCCACATTAGAAGTCCCCACATTGGCTCAGATTAAAAAAATCTCTTAAAATCATAAAATCTCTTAAAATCATAAGGCGCCATCTGCAGCAACGAGTGCAGACGCTCCTGGAGCTCAGTCGTTCCACGTGATCGGCACTCTCTCATCTAGCTACACCTTTTATCCAATGCCGAACGGAAGAACACTGTGGGGAATGACTTTCCACTCCTTATTTCTCCCCGCCTCGCCTCACGCACCTGCCTCAGCGCTGGAAACAGAAGTTAGGACCTTGCACATGCTGGTTCTAACACTGAGCACAAACTATACACTAATGTCATTTCTTCCTTTTATCTTTATTTTGTGTTATTGTTTTGATTTAGGCGCCCTTTCTCGGTTGAGGGTCTTACTGTGTAGCTCAGATTGGCCTTAAACTCCAGGTTCTGTCAATGTTTCCTGAGTGCTGGGGCTATAGCTGTGGATCAGCATGCCTGGCCCAATTTACTCCTTTTTCATTTGTATTTATTTATTTATTTATTTATAGACAAAGTTTCTCTGTGTAGCCCTGGCTGTCCTGTAACTCACTCTCTAGACCAGGCTGGCCTTGAACTCACAGAGCTTCGCCTGCCTCTGCCTGCGGACTGCCTGGTTTGAAGCTTCGTGCCACCACCACCTAGCTTCATTTTCGTTTCTTTATTTTTTGAGCTGGAAATTGAACCCGGGGCCTTGTGTGTGATGGCCAAGAGGGCTTAAACATGGAGTTTTAGTTTTAGTTGACTCTTCCTGTTACTTCTAATTAGGAGACAGAGTCTCACTAAGTTACCCAGGTTAGCCTTGAACCTGTGCTCTTTCTCTCTGCGTCTCCAGTGACTGGAATAAGGTTTTTAAAAGAACAGAAAGATCCCACTGGCAATAGGTAAAGAGACACTTTGTTGTTGGTGGTGGTCTTGTGTCAGTCAGGGGCAGAACAGATGGCAGTCCTTTGTTCATCCTAGCTTGATGCCTGGCTTGGTGGCCAAAGCTGTTTTATACTTGGGACACATAAAACTCAAATCAAATCCAGGCAGCACTTCGAGGGAGGAGGAAGATAGAGTCCTGTGAACTGCCATGCCACCTGCAGACCTGCTCTCCAGTGCATGCCACAGGGGGGCTCTAGACACTCACTTGCTGCCATGCCATGCAGCAAAGACAGAAAATGTCACCCAGGGGCTTGCCAGCCGTGTGGCCAGCCAGTAGCTAGAACCATCCCAGTGTGCAAGTTTGTGGTGGTCAGATCTGAGAGAAAGAGAAGTGCGCATCACCTGGGACCACAGTGAGGTCCTGACCAGAGCCGCCGCTGAGGGCTATGTTGGGGTCTGTGGCTACACAGTTGCAGATGTCTGTGGCTCATATTACCACTAGAGAACATGGGGATGTTCCTGGTCTGGGCAGCCACCTGGGACCACACGGATGTACAGGGCTGTTCAGAACTGGCCCAGCTTTTCCCTGGCCGCTGCATTCTAGAGAGCTGGCCCATTTCTCACTGGTTGCCACACTTGAGAGAGCAGGCCCTGAGCCTTACCTGGGCAGCACAATGGAGCTGACCCTAATATGGAAGACCCGGGTGAGCCAGCCCCGAGGTTGTGAGAGGAGATTGCTGTTCAGCCCATTGCAGGCTGCAGGACTTAGCAGAATGGGCCCTGAACCTTGTCTGAGCAGCACAGCGGAGCTGGCTCTGGAGGCATGTGTGCAGGTGAACGGGCCCGAAGGCAAGAGAGCAGGAGAGCCAACCCTGCCTCACGCCTATGGCATCATTGGGTGGCTTAGCTGGAGTGGTGCTGGAGAGCTCGCCTTGGTAGTGCAGATAAGGGGTATCCCACAGGCTGACCGGCCCAGATCCAGGGCTCCGAGTTGGCCCACTCCAAAATCTGTATCATCTGTAACGGTTGGGACACGTGAAAGTGCCAGTCCTGCTGATCCAAAACTGCAGGATCTCCATGACACAGGGCAGCAACGAGATAACCAGGAGGACTTCAGGTGTTGGATCCAGTATTGATGGTGTCACCGAAGCCAGAGGTCTCGAAACAGACCAATGACTCATTACAGTGAACATTTGCAAGTGAAGTTGTGTGGACAGAGGGATAGACTGTGGGACACACTGGGACATGTTGCGGCTTCTATGATGAGATGTTTTTTATGCTTTAAAAAAAATTGTCTGTGTGTTTATTTTTTGAGGGAGGTTGTAAGGGCGAAGGGCAGATATTAGGGAGCGGGGAGATGAGCAGGACTGAGGTACATAATGTGAAACTCAGAAAGAATCAATAAAAAGTTAATAGGAGAAAAAGGATGAGGAGGAGGAAAAGGAGGAGGAGGAAGAGAAGGAAGAGGAAGAGGAGGAGGAAAAGAAGAAGAAAAGGAAGAGGAAGAGGAGGAAGAGGAGGAGGAAAAGGAGGAAGAAGATAAAGAGGAGGAAGAGAGCTAAGGAGATAACTCAGCAGAGAAAGTAGTTACTTGGAGTTGACACCAGAATAGTGGGGAACATGAGGTCTCAGCAAAGAATAATTCCTCCTACTATAAAATATTGTTTACTAATAATAATGTTTTAAAATATTTTAAAAACTTGGTTGGAATAAAGTTTGTCTCATCTGTCTGTAAATAGTTACTTTTTTTTTTTTTTTTTTTTTGGTTTTTTGAGACAGGGTTTCTCTGTGTAGCCCTGGCTGTCCTGGAACTCACTCTGTAGACCAGGCTGGCCTCGAACTCAGAAATCCGCCTGCCTCTGCCTCCCAAGTGCTGGGATTAAAGGCGTGCGCCACCACTGCCCGGCTTACTTTTTTTTTTTTTTTTTTTTAAGATGAGGTCTCACCATATAACCCTGGCCTGGAATTCACTAAGTAGATCAGGCTGGCCGGGAATTTATGGAGATGTAAGTGCTGTGATTAGAGGCGTGCACCCCACGCCCAGCTAATTATGGCATTTTGAAAATGCATCAGGGACTGGAGAGATGGCTCAGGAGTTAAGAGCACTTGCTACTCTTTCAGAGGAGCAGAGTTCAGTTCTCAGCACCCATGCTGGGCTGTTCACAGCCACCTGTAACTCCAGCTTCAGGGGATCCAGTCCTTCCTCAGCCTCTACTGACAGCTCCTCAGCCTCTACTGACAGCTGCTCAAACATGCGTTCATAGACGGACAGATCAGTACATTTTTAAAAACTGTGTACTAAATCGGCTGAGTTATGCCATACCCAGATATAACAAAGTACAGAGGAAGAAATGGACTAATTAGTAATGACATTTGTTTTTTTAAAAATGTGTGCATTATCTACATTGTTCAAACAGTAGAAGCAAACACTAGATTGTCCCTAAAGTAATGCAATTCAAAACAAACAAGCAAACAAGAAAACCTCAGTGGCCAGGAATGGTGGTGTATGCCTTTAATCCCAGTACCTAGGATGCAGGAGGAGCTCTGAGTTGGAGATCTGCTCTATGAAGAGAGTTCCAGGGCAGCCAGGGCTACAGGGACTAGAGAGACTGTCTCAACAAAATGAAGAGAAGAGAAGAGGGGAGGGGAAAGGAGGGGAGGGGAGGGGAGAGAAAGCTTATTGAGATAGTTTGGTGGTTAAGAGCGTACCCTGCTCTTGCAGAAGGCTAAGTTCAGTTCTCAGCACGCAGGTCTGATGCCTTGAGCACCTGCACTCACACTTCCCCCACCCCTAGACATAATTAACAATAAAACACATCTTAAAAAATAAGCCCTCAAAAAAAAAGTCCTCATAGGCCAGTTAGAATTTATTACAATCCATGTCCCATAGGACTGTACATTTTAACAATGTGGCACAAAATATATATGAAAAAAATTCATCTCAAGCCAACCCTAGTCCAGTCCACAG